AAAATTATCTTGACTTCAAAATATTAAATTTGTGTCAATAATCTTACCTGCATGTATTACAGGCAAACGTCCAGATACATAACACTAGTCGAAGAATTCCAGTATGAACTTAAAGTTTAGACTACGGAACAATAATAAAAGAGATAAAATATTAGCAGGTAATGGAACAATACAATGGACACGCAAAATATCACATCCTTCCTCGACCCATTTTATGGGCGTAGAATTTATTGAAATTTTCTGTAATAATTGGCACAGGAATGGCTAAAGTGAGAACCCCTGATATAGCACAAATGGCTCCAATCACCTTTCCCCAAACACCGACGGGTACCTGATCACCATAGCCAACAGTACACATGGTAATCAAGGCCCACCAAAATCCGTCCGGAATGCTGTTGATCTGTGAGCCTTCTTGGCCAAGCTCAGCAAAGTAGATTGAGCTTGAGAAAAGTAGTATGCATACAAACATAGCCACCAAGAAAAGGGCAAGTCCTTCTAAACTGGCTTGGAAGGTCAGGATCAGGACTTGGAGTCCCGCTGAATGTTTTGTTAACTTGAATATCCTAACCAGACGGATGACCCTGAGAAATGAAAGCGAAGAGCTGGATTTAGAGGACTCACAACTATGACTAGCAAGAGAGTTGGCCACGGTTATGTAGTAAGGAAGTACAGCTGTAATGTCTACGAGGTTCTTAAAGTCTTTGAAGTAACAGATTTTGCTAGGGCAAGCGAAGAATCGTACGAATACCTCCACCGTGAACCAAGCTGTGCATATGGTTTCCAGAACAAAGAAAGGGTCTGCATAATTCACAGGGCTTGCATTTTTACATTCTTTGACAAACATTGGCAATGTTTCAACGCAAAACAAAATAATTGATAACATGGTTATAGCGACAGACGTCACAGCGATTGCATAGGCCGCATAAGATGTTTCAGGAAACTCCATCAACATCCAGATTTTTCGTTGTAAAGGGTTATCGGGTAATATTACTTTCTCTTGTATATATCCCTCTTCTTTTTTGTATACATCTATCACATTCGTTTCAATTTCAAAGAAGTCTAATTCTTTAAGAAATATGTCATCTGGCACAGTTTCAGGTCTTCTCAACCGTCCTCCGTATTTGTAGTAATTAAAAATGGCTTCAAACGTGGGTCTGTGACGATCAAAGAAATACTCGTCCCTTTGTCTATCATAGTACATTATCCGCTTTCTGGGATTACCTAGCAATGTTTCTGGGTGCCTTTCAAGAACTGAAGCCCATATTTCATAATACTGTCCACACACATTGATAGTAATCCTTTCGCATGTTTCAAGACGACACTGGTGTGGCAGACTTACGGTACAACCGCTGCAAGGAGAGAATGGTTCACTTATGGGAGAATTTGAGTTTTCAAGTTTCTGACTCTTCCCTGATCCCCGCGACCCTCGCTTGCGTCTCTGATTTGCAGACTGGAAAATCCAAAGTTGATCAGTTTCTTCACTGTTCATGTGGTCCGATGTGTCATATGGTTTCCGATACCGCCTCTGGTTCATCAAGGAAACTTGCACTGCCATTATGATCTACTCAAGTCATATTCCTTTTGAGCCATCTGCTATGCTCGAATCGAATCCATTGTCATAGGTCTACTCTCTTGCACGCTGCATGGTGAGTGAGCTTATATATTTCAAGTCCAAAATATGAGCGGAAAACAATCTTAGAGCTGTACATTCCATTTCATTTACACGTTATCACTTATTTAAGCATTTCCACTACACTTGGCAAAGAAGTAGAAAAGTATCATCCAAATGGAAAATCTCACAAGGTAATGAAAACATTCAAGTTATTTTATAAGTTTTAGCAACACCAGCTCCATGGAGTGTCAGAACGTTTATTTAATCGAAATGAACAAAGAGTTGATCAAATTAATCTACTCATTGCGGTATTGTATGCAATTTGAGCTGGCTTCAGTGGTAGGCTGAACAGGGCACATCCTCCAATTCGATCAATAGCAGCTTGCTGGCATGAATGGCAAAGCTTATCTTTGTTTTCTGACATCATTTTCCTTTATTTCACGTTCGGCTTTGCGATAAGCGATTGTCGCTATACCTGCTTTATACACGAAGAATAGCCTTTTTCGGAATAGCGCCTCAATTTATGCCTCAATAAGTCTATTCATTAAAAAAGGGAAAGTATCTATATACCCACAAAACATAGATTAGAGAAGCTTCATTTTCTGATAAAGAGTTTCCTTCAGTACATAAAAGAGATATTAATCGATAATGAAACTTGTTCACATCTGCCCCAATACTATTTACGACTGTGTAAGGAAAATTATCGGAGGTATGCTGGAGTCCACTTTTTCCCGAGAACTTTAGTTGTGGATTTATTAGACTGACATTTGAAATTTGAAACATATATATTAATCGGCGCTGTCTGATTTCTGTATTCTTTACGTTTATAATATATATATATATATATATATATATATATATATATATATATATATATATATATATATATATTATAATTGCCGGTCAATCTGTTTAAAATATATTCAAGTGAAATCATTTGGTGATAAGTAAAATAAAAACTGAGGAAACAATCAGAAAGTGTTTGGAAACGTTCTAAAATTAAATATTGCAAGCATTTAAAACATAAAGAAAATTTGGGTTCAGCAAACTATAAACTACTGACATATATCTCTTGTTAAAAATAATTTATATTTTCTTTCACATCTGATATTATTTGAAAATATAACTAGATCGGTACAGACGCACAAGAAAAATGAAGGCGACAATCACTATTCCAAAAATATCTCCTTCACAAATGCTCACCAGCCTAGCATGATACGTAGATCCTATTGTTCCATCGCTTACTGTTAGCTTAAAAATGATGATGTGAACTGCCATGGGTTTGCGTTAAAATTAAACACAATCTTTGGGGCCAGCTGTTACGTTGAGAAAATGTTTCCCAGATTATTGATTTGCTACATATGCAATAATAATTTTTTAAAAAATGCTGATTGGGAATTATTATTATTATTATTATTATTATTATTATTATTATTATTATTATTATTATTATTATTATTATTATTATTATTATTGATTTAAGCCGCACAAATTTGGTTATACCGAATCATTAATTCCGAATTTTCTTTATTGCTGTAGAATGAAAAAGAAAAACAATATATTTTAAATATTTTAGGTTCTAATCAACTTTTCTTTCATTTATTTTAATAAATATCTAAAGGTAATAAATTTTAAAAATTCAATTGCCGACCAAAGGCGGATCTAAAATATAAATGGAGAAGTGCCATTTGAATGACTAACATCAGGATTCGGGCGCACAAGAAATAACTACATGACAAAAACAAAGTATGGTTCACAAAACTCCGTACCATTCCCATCTTTGTGAATGAGTATGACTGATGGTGTTCGTATCCAGAGTCTGTATTTGAGAATGAATAATTGCTGGAGCAGAAGGGACAGTAATAGACAAAGATATTCAATAATCTAACATAACTAACAATAAAACACAAGGCATCACATTTATTAAAGGAAATATAACGCAAGAGAAGATAACACGTCTAGATACAATATACTTAAGGGACAGGAGGTTATTAGTTGGGGACATTGATAGCTGGGGACTGCTGTCAAGATAAGAAGTCTTTCATTAAAAGGCATGAAAACAGAAACACAAACAAATCATATTGTTGTTTATGGTTTAGTAAACGCCATGTTTCAATATATAATGGAGTGTACAGGGTAGCCAGTGTAACTAGTGGAGGGAGAACCCCGGAAAACCTCTGTAGGAACCATCAACCAACGGAAAGCTACTGGCAAGCGTTCTCGCATACCCACCGTGGCTCAGAACGAGAATTGGAACCCATGCTGGCAGAAGTGAGATGGTAGAGGCGAGCGCTTTAGACCACTTAGTCACTCAGAAGAACCAACAATAATACATTATTAAAATATGTGATGTGAAGATAGTTTTATACTTGTTTTGCTTTCAACATCATGCCCCACCCTCCCCAATTTGCTTTGGATCTAGAGAAAATGATTTTCACAAAAAACATTTTCCTACAGATACCAGAATGGAATTTAAAGTATAAACACATAACAATACAATGCACAAATCAGATAAATGCTTAAAATCTCTGACAAGGATCACATATAAAGTAAAACAGGGAGATGGATATGTAAACACGCTTTCGGGATGCATAGGTCCTGAATGACAGGAGTATGCAGAAACTAATAAAAATTTAGGCCTAGGGCTGGAACAAGAGAATCATAGTAATGATTTATTGCGATCTTTATATATTTATTGCTAATTATTATTATTATTATTATTATTATTATTATTATTATTATTATTATTATTATTATTATTATTATTATTATTATTATTATTATTATTATTATTATTTACTGAGAAAACATGAAGTTCATCCATTATATATTATGAGACATCTGTCATAATTTAAACTCTCTACATGACATATGATGACACTTTCACACACAAAACTCATCTTCTAGCTTATGTTTCCTGACTTGCATAAATTAGCAGTAGCCGAGTACAGAAGCAAGTGAACACCTGAGAAAAGAAAACTTAAACACATGAGAACAAGTGCATTAGTCGAATTTGACTGACCTTGAGCGTTGCTTTCACCTATAATTCCTGACTGGAGGACTTGCATGTTTTGGTTTCTGATGCTTAGTAGGCCACACACTGTCCAAAGCAAATACTATTAAACCGAACAAAGTTCTACCATTGCCTGTCCCATAACGACAAGCTAGAAATCAATTTTATTTTTATTCACAGATGTATAACAAAGTTGAACCAAAAACAATTTGAACACGGTAAAGCCAAGCATAAAATCTACTATGGCTGACGTGTAAAGAATTGGTACGCATGCAGTCCCTTTTGGTGAGAAAAACAATTGCCAACGTAACATACCTGTCCGTTAGGTTTCGTTGCAAAGAGACCTATCTTAAACATTAATGTGATTCTTCCAATGACCTCTCCGGTGGTTTAGTGGTTAGATCGTCCGCCTTGGATGCGAAAGGTTTGAACCCCAGCCGAGTCATATCAAACACATAAAAATGGTACCTTCGGCTACCTCGCTTGCTGCTCAGCATTAAGAGGTTAGTGTTAGGACTGGTCGTCCTGGTGTCAAGATAATGTGTCAGGATCATGCGACATGATTGTGGCATGATGCCCCAGTGCTAGACAATACTATAAACTGACTCACTTGCATGCATCGTAGCAATATGACTGAAGGAAATGTTAAAATTCCAAATCAAGCGCACGACATCCAAATATCCTTTTCTAAAATATGCTATAGTCCCCCCTGAATATTTTGAAATTGTACATTTTCATTCTCATACATAGAACGAATTTTAAGAAAATATAAAAAGACCAGAACTGAGTGATCACAAAAAAATGTTCTGGCCTAGGCAACAGTTAGTTTGTTTCATCAAGGTGCTATTAGGCATGGCATAAATAAGAAAAGATCATCCTACAGTCTACTGCAGAGTTTGCGCCAAATCATCATACACCCAATTTCATCATCACACACCCAACTTCATCATCACACAACCAACTTCATCATTACACACCCTACTTCATCATCACACACCCAATTTCATCATTACACACATAACTTCGTAGGATACTTGTTACGCAAAAATGTGATCCCTAAAGTAATTTAAACTTTTGGCTGTGGTGCACATGAAGTTTGATTCAGTCAATAAGCAGGAATTAGTGAATGTCATTTTAAACCTGTATGGGATCCTTGTCCTTTACAATTGTTCTTCCAAGCAGATTTATAATCGCTTTACAAAATATTCGTACAATGTTTGTCAACACCTCTATTATGCAGACGTAAATCTGAAATGGCCCAACAAATTAAAGAAATGACCCAATATTTAAAGAAAGGCTCAATCAATACAAAGGACCCCCAAAAATGAAAGAAAGACAAAAAAGTAAACAAAGAAACCCCCAAGGAACTAAAGAAAGACCCAACCAATTAAAATGACCCAAACAATTAAAGAAAGCCAGCAACAATAAGAAGGTACATAAAATGATAAAAGAAGATAGAGAAATGAATATAAAAGACTAAGTAAGGACGTAATAGTGCTGTGCAGAAGATGCAGGTTATACGCTAATTCTTATGCATGTTGCTACAAGAGATTAGGTTAAATTAGGCAAAATAGTTTGGAAAGAAAATTAAGGAATTAGAAAGTTACATTTCAGGTTTATTTTATAAGAAATTATGTTTAGTACAGAAAGCATCCTTGATGTTTTTATTTGGAGAATATTGAATTTAATGGCTTCAAGAATCAAGTACTAATTGAAATCAAATTTTAGAAACAAATTGCTTCAGGTTGATAATGGTCTCAAACCACAACATTGTTTCCTTTCCTTTAATAATATATAGGTCGTTTTTTACAATAGTAGACATAAAATACACTTTATCATTGTTATTTATTCATCTTTGCAAGCCAGAGAAAATTAATAAATAAAAACATATCAAATAAGACACTCGAATGAGATATAAATTATGGAATCAACCCCTGTTGGAAGCACATTGAAGATAGGTTCAGCGGCAGCGAAATTACAACTGAACTTGAGAAATATCAATAAAACAGAAAATTCTACCGTGACTTCTTTCATCCTGAAGTTTATCAGGGCTTTCAAGATATTCGAAAAATTAATTCAATCATATGAGAAAATTATTGCCAACTTTCAAAATCTTTAAACAGTTGTTTCTCAATCCCCATATTTTGAACTCAACATGAAAGCCACATAGTAATTTCTGTTTGAGACTCAATGATCCAACTTCACTGGGTGCATCATTTTAAACAATAAATGGATCAAGTCTCATCCTGTGCGAGAACGACTTTTACCACCAATATTATTTTCAATCAATATAGAAAACTATATGAGTATATTTTAAATACAAATGACGGTTAAGGCACCCAAATAAATGGTTTTTGACGCATATGCTAAAATTAAAGCATGATACAAGAAAACGAAAACGTTACAACTGAATTTTTTGTTTGAGCAGTAGTACTTAACCGTAGGCATGTTTATAAATGATATATATATATATATATATATATATATATATATATATATATATATATATATATATATATATATATATCTGAAATCAGAAATATTAAGACGATTGATTTATGTATCTTCAGTTAAAGAAGTTTCTCTTTCAGTAACTTCAAAATCCCACTGACAGTAAGGCCAAAAGCTGACTGAATCCTAATGATTCTTGAACCATTTCTCTAACACCGGAACCAATAAATGAACACGATCTCAGTCAAATTAGAAGGTCATTTGCGCTCCACAATATCAACATTCACATAAATGTCAATAGCAATAGTACAAATATTTTTCAGCTCTTAACTTAAGAAATAAGTAGTCCTTTTTCATATCTATGGATTATTGGTCATTTTTGCCACGGCGGTCAACCTTGTACAAAGGTTTCATACTTTAAAACATCGGATAATTACTGTATATTACTGGAAGTTAAATACTTATATTTATAAGGAAACATAATTATTAAAATAGTTGCTTTAACTTGCTTTTAGTTTTTTATATTTTATTTCCATCCGTTTTATTTCGTTGTCTTTGGCGCACAGCAATGAAAAGAAATACAGCTCTATATGACTGCCTGCCTGCCTATCTATCTATCTATCTATCTATCTATCTATCTATCTATCTATCTATCTATCTATCTATCTATCTATCTATCTATCTATCTATCTATCTATCTATCTATCTATCTATCTATCTATCTATCGTCATATCAGCACATTCAATATCGTATTTTATTCGGGATACGATTGGAATTTATTTCGAACTTCATCATTTGTACATGTAACAGAACATATAGGACTGTTTGGGATTTAATTCACAACACTGTAAGTTCTTTTAAATTGTTCAGTTTGTATTCTACGGAAATAAAATATTTGTTGAATTTTACAAAATTTGTTGGTTTTGCTGATTAATACTTGATTAGGGAATATATCATGAAGAGTTATGAGTTGGTGAAACTGTAGGAACTGTAAAATAGAAACGAGATATACCCATGTCGAATTTGCAAGATCTACAAAACAATTATTTAATAGGTGGATATCAGCCAAGAAGGTTTATCAACACTACAATAAGTCCAAGCAACTCGTATTATTTGAAGTGTTCAAGAATTATATCCACAGTGTGTAAAGACCTACCTTGATGAACAAAAAGTCGACAATTTAGAAAATGCTACTCGTACAGTTGGCGATTATTCCTTTACTCACAAAATTCATTTTATCAGTAAGTCTTAAATTCAGTAGTTTTCGCTAATAAAAACACCTTTTCAGTCTCTTATAAGCACTTCCAAATCTCAGTCTAGCACAACCTCATACATCAAGTTTCTAATCATTACTCATGATAACTTTAGATGTGCAAATTAAACAACATAGTAAAGTCAGATATATTCCAAATGATTATATTTCTAGTAGGTCAAGGTCATACTCACATAATTTAAACAATACATACGTTGGGTTAGCAAGCTCCATTTTGATTTTATTATGGAAAATTATGAACCATTTTTGCGGCAAGGTTCTATATCACTTATTAGTGATTTTGCAGTCTTATCCTTATTATAATTGTAAGGGATACATGAGCTTCTCGCAGTGTTTAATTAGGTATTTTGCCTTTTCCTGAGACGTCTTCTATTTAATGAGTGTTCTTATGCAGGGTATATAAGTTTTACACAATTTGGTCTTCCCACATCTATTCAATCTAATCCAATTTTATACGTGGAATTTCTAGCAGGTTATGAATGCATTAGACGTTAGATATGTTAAATCATCTGCCTATAACTCTGAAAGTCAAAAGGATTTGGAAATATATTAAACTTTGAACTAAAATGATTCGGACATATCTCTTTGATATCGGAAAAGATTGAGGATATCGTGTTCATTTATTGGTTCCGGTGTTAGAGAAATGGTTCAAGAATCAATAGGATTCAGTCAGCTTTTGGCCTTACTGTCAGTGGGATTTTGAAGTTACTGAAAGAGAAACTTCTTTAACTGAAAATACATAAATCAATCGTCTTAATGTTTCTGATTTCAGATATAATTTGTCAAAGACTTGTAAAGAACCAAAAACTAAGCTTTGCTCTGCTCAGTCAAAAATGAAACTACGGTATGAAAACATACATAGGAAAGGAATTTTCAGCCGGGTGCTATAGTCCTTGCTCTCATGTTCATGCCTTAAAGCCTTTCCACGCTAAGTACTATGGGCCTTTTACAGTTGACACAAAAGTAATTGATTTAATTTATGTCGTTAAAACTCCTGGGAGGCGAAAATAAAAACAACTTTGCCACATAAAAATTTCAAAGGAGTAAGTTTGATAGAGATAACCCGTGTAATCATAGTTAATTTAGTTTTACCTGTCTCACACAGTGCGGATTTAAATGATGGAATGAAATCGACTGTAGTAACTTTGGTGCAGCCAATCTTCATACTTCCAAAATGTCGAATAATCTGGAACATACACTTTCATATCTACAGCCACACGAAACAAATAAAATCTGCATTGACGATGAAATTGCAGATCCCACATCTGAGAAACAGAATCCAGCACAGGACAAACCCTCTCAAACAAAATTGTTTGATACAATAAATTCAGTATTTGCAGGAGAATGATTTCATAGAACCGAGTGAATGTAACTAGAAATCACTATGCATTCTTGTACCGAAACCGGATAATTCTTTTCGCATATGCACCGACGATAGAAATGTGAACAGAGTGACCAAAACAGATTCATTTCCGTTGCCAAGAATCGATGACTGCATTGGTAAATTTGGACATGCAAAATATGTCCACAAGCTTCTGTAAATTCCCTGACGGAAACGGCAAAAGTAAATTTCAGAAATCCTAACTTCAGATGGAGTGTATCAATTCAGAGTAACGCCGTTAGGGATGAAAAGTTCACATTGTTCTTTTCAATGTTTTATGAACACGATCACTGATGGTCTATGTGAAGCTTATATCGATAACTGGATCATCTATAAAGA